CCATGTTGCACCACATAATTAGTATGTTAGAGCACACAGTGTGGGGTCCACGTTTGCTAACAGGTTTATGTCTATGTATGTATGTATGTATGTATGTATGTACGTATGTATGTATGTATGTATGCATGTGTGTATGTATGTGTGTATGAATGTATGTATGCATGCATGCATGTATGCAGGCATGTATGTATGTATGTATGTGTGCATGTGTGTATGTATGAATGTATGTGTGTATATATGTATGTATGTGTGTATGTATGTATGTTTGTGTGTGCATGTACGTATGTGTGTATGTATATGTGTGTGTATGTATGTATGTATATATATGTGTGTGCATGTATGCAGGCATGTATGTATGTATGTATGTGTGTATGTATGTATGTATGAAAGTATGTGTATATATGTATGTATGTGTGTGTATGTATGTATGTATGTGTGTGCATGTACGTATGTGTGTATGTATGTATGTATGTGTGTATGAATGCATGTATGTATGTATGTATGTATGTATGTATGTATGTATGTATGTATGTATGTATGTATATGTATATGTATGTATGTATGTATGTATGTATGTATGTATGTATGTATGTATGTATGCGTGTCTGTATGTATGCACGTATGTAGGTATGTATGCATGTATGTATGTTTGTTTGTATGTATGTATGTGTGTATGTATGTTTGGTTGTATGTAGGTATGTACGTATGTATGTACTTATGAATGTATGTATGTATGTATGTATGTATGTATGTATGTATGTATGTATTTATGTATGTATGCATGCATGTATGTATGTATGTATGTATGTATAGATGTATATAGTTATGTGTATGTATGTATGCATGTATGCATGCATGTATGTATGTATGTATGCGTATGCGTATATATAGGTATATATATATATATATATGTACGCACGCACTCAGCACCCACCCAAGGCGTCCAAGTCCAAGAAGTAGACGGCGGGCGACTGAGACCCGGGCTCGGCGGAGCGCAGGCTCGGCCCGGCCCCGGCGCGTCCGCTGCGGGGGAGGCCAGGTGCAGTGCTGCTGCAGCGGTGCGACGACCCATCGGGCGCCTGGAAAAAAAAAACAAGGAAACGAACGAAGATGATAGAAGCAGAAAGCCAACAAGGCGCTCCAGCAGGCGCTCGCCGCGCAGTTGAGACTCCGAGGATGGGCTCCGGTTTCCAGGCCGTTCCTGAAGTGCAGGTCGGGGAGCCCAGTCGTGACCCACGCCCACCGTGGCCAGCAACGCCCTTTCCTGCCCTAGTCAGCATCCCTGCTGGTAGCACGACGACCTGTTCGTCTTCTTTGTCTGCTCTTTAGTACTACTATGTGTCTTCTTTTGTCTTATTCGTACGATTCGTAGTATTATCAACTTTAGTTTTAGTTTCCTCTTGTTCATAGTTTTCGCATTATTATTGGTGTTGCTATTCTGATTATAGCATCGGCGCTCTTCTTATGATTATGATTATGATTACGACTAGTTTCAACATTCTTACCACGGTTCGTCTCTTTCTTTGTCTTTCTGCTGCACGCAGAGGCGGCCCTTCGACGAAGTGGCCTCTGGCGGCGCGACCTGCGGGGGTGCGGGGGGCCACGCTCAAGCAGGCAGACCGCTGCCGCCTCACCGCGCGCAGCGGTCCTGCCAGGCCGCGCACCGAGGGCCCTTCTTGCCCAGGGCCACCCTCCTCCTCCTCCTCCCTCCTCCTCCTCCTCCTCCTCCGCCTCCTCCCTCCTCCTCCTCCGCCTCACTCCTCCTCCTCCTCCTCCTCTCCTCTCTCTCCTCCTCCTCCTCCTCCTCCTCCTCATCCTCCTCCTCCTCCTCCTCCTCCTCCTCCTCCTCCTCCTCCTCCTCCTCCTCCTCCTCCTCCTCCTCCTCCTCCTCCTCCTCCTCCTCCTCTCTCGGAGGAGGAGGGAAAGGTACCGATACCGCAACCCTGCGTCCGTTTTCTCCTTTGGGGGCCTCCTGCTCCTCCCTCCGCATGCTCTGGGAGGAGGAACAGGTACCAATACCGTTACCCACACATTGGAAGGGACCTCTCAAGCTTTCCTCAGGCCTGCGCAGTGTCCATAGGAGCAAGAACGCAGCTGAGCACAGGAGAGCGTGCAGGCAAAGACGGAGCTCGGACATGCAGAAGCAAGGTGCGGACGACGCTGCACAGCCCTAGGAGAGCAGAGCATTGACAGCGCGAGCACCAAATCTGCAAGTGGCCGGGGAGCCCCCGCGCAGTTTTCGCATGTCTGGGCCTGCTGAGAGGCCCTTGTCGCCACCGCTGGATTCGCCTCGAAATTCTGTTTAGAACGCGCCCCAGGAGAGGTCCTGGGGGTAGCGGTCTCGGTACCTTTTGGTTTCCCCATGCTCGTCGCGTCCAGTTCGGGCGGATTCCGCCTGCAGGCCGCCACACGGCAGCGCCCGTGAGGCGTCGCTCGCCTCCAGAAGAGCACGCCCGCGTTCGCGCGGGCGTTCAGATTTCGACGGGCGTGGGCGCAATACGCACACACTTTTTCCGCCGACGCTCCAACGCTCAGCTGAGTCTACACTGCGGAACGACGCAACGGGTAGTGTATGCATCGAATGGATTCCCTTACGAAGGAGTGCGGACGGTGCTGGTCTATTCGCGCACGCTCACACACACCACACCCAACACACACACACACACACACACACACACAACACACACACACACACACGCACAACACGCACACAACACACACACACAGAGAACACACACACACAACACACACAACACACAAACACAACACACACACACAACACACAACACAACACAACACAACACAACACACACAACACACACACAATACACACAACACACACAACATATACACACATACACACGCGTTGTTTGGTGTCGCAGCCGCGCGCGTGGCGACGGGGCGTAGACAGCCGATCGCAGGCAGCGGAGCGCGCGCGCCTGCGCACGGCCGAGTTCTCAGAGGCCGCTTAGGGTCTCACAGCCGGCAGCAGCCACAACCGTCTGGGCCTGGATGGCGGGGAGGGGCGATGTGCAGACGAAGCTACGGTGAGGGTGGGAAGTGACATGAGCCAGGGAGAGCGAGTAGGCCAGCGTCGAACGACAAGGGAGCGCGTCTAGGAGTGACGGCGGAGAGCGGGTTGAAGGCGGCGGAGCCGCGAAAAGTTGCAGGCCGAGGGGGCCGCGAAAGCCGGCGGAGCCAGGCGGCGCGCCAGCAACGGCGGCGGCCGAGGGGCGGTCCTTGAGGGACCGGCCCTGGCCGGCCCTTCCCAGGAAGGGGGGGGGGACCAGGACTTAACTGAACTGAAGATAAAGGCTCATCGTCAGCCCACCAGGAGGATGGGAAGGAACAGGAGAAGGGCCTCCCTCGGGCCTTCCGGTAAGTCACCACCGATAGCAAGAGAAGAGCTTCCCTGGGAAGTCACTACCGATAGCAAGCGAAGAAAGAGCCCTGAGGACGGCCCTGCGAAGAGCGCGTCGAAAGCGCGCCGGGGGGGGGGGGGGGCGGGAGAGGGGAGAGGCAAGCGGAGGCGGACAGAAGGCGAAAAGCGGTGCAATGGCCAGGCAGCCGCAGAGGACAAGGGGGGAGGGGACCGCGGCGGCAGCACAGAGGCCGCAGATGGGAATCCCAGCCGGGAACGGACCGGGGCGGCCGCGCCGACCCGGGCGGGGGGGGGCAAGCTGCGGCCGAGGCCCTGTGGGCCCTGGGAGGGAGACAGGGAGCGCGCACGGGTGCTCCACTTGCGGCGCAAGGGCGAGGTCCGGAGCCGAGGACAGGGGGAGGAGCCCGTGCACCGCCACCTGCAGTCCACGTCCCCAGCGTTCCCGCGGGGGCAGGGGCCCGCCCTGCGAGGGCAGAGGCCGCGGGAGGGTTCGCGGGAGGGGGGTCCCAGCAGGGGCCACCGGCGGGCAGCGGCAGCGCGTTGCGCCCCCAGGGGCCGGGGTGCACGGGGGGCCGGGGCGCTCTGGCCAGGCCCAGTCGGGCACGGAAGCTGGGCGATGGCCCCATGCTGGGACGCCGCCCGTGAGAGCTATAGCGCGGGCTCCGAAGCAGAGAGCGGAGGGAGGCAGGCGCGCCGGAGCAGGAGCCACCGCCGTTTCCGCGAATGGCGTTGGCAGTTGGGGTGGGAGGCGGGCCGCTTCCTCGGGGTCATCGTTGACAGTTTAAGGATTCCCTGAGTTTCTGAGGGCACACCCCTGAGATTGTCATCGCCTGTGGCTTGCCGATCTTAGGGATAGCGACATACGCTCGAGGCTGGTTAGGGAGGGGATGCGGGGTCGTCCGCTGGAGGCGATCCGCTGGGATCCATCGGCGATGCGTCGGCGATGCGGCGCGATCTTCCGACCCCATCTACTCGTACCCCATCTAGGAGACCCCAGAGATCCGATGTCGTGATTTTGTTCAATACGTACGCAGTCCCCGGAAGTCTCGACCCATTCCCCAGGACATGTTTTTCATCCTGAGTCGTTTTTTGACGGTCCTGGGGCCCGACGAGGGCCCCTCGAGGCCGAAATATATGAAAAACCTTCGTTCTGATTTTTCCAATGCGTTGGATCTCTGGGACCTCCAGGAGGGGAGGGGGGGGGGGGAGACTGGAGGCAAACGGCCCCAGGGACGCCGAAGACTTGGAGATTTTTGCTCCCCCCGAGCTCGTCGGCCCCGTCGTCGCCTCCGAAGGGGGGGGGGCGGCCTGGACGTGCGGGGCCGCTGCGCCGGAGGCGGCCCGCACGGGGCTGCCGCCGCCGACCGGCGCAGCGACCGCCGCCGCGCGTGGCTCACAGCCCGGCGCCACGGCGCCCGCGCGCAGCACCCCCGCAGGGCGTGCGTTGTGCAGGTCCGCGCTGCGAGCTCCTCCCGCGGAGCCTCCCGGGGACTCCCTGGGCGCCCGACGGCGTCTCGGGGTCGGCCTGGGCGCGATGCTGTTGCGGAGCTGTCTCGGCGGCGATCGGTTCGGCTGTCCTGGAGCCCTCTGGGCGGGTCTGGGGACCCACCCGCCGGAGGCGATCCGCACCTACTTCTCCGTGTTCGGCGAGCTCGAGGAGGTCAGCCTGAAGAAGCACGAGACCACCGGGCGCGCCAGGGGGGGGGCTGGGCATGGGGGAGGGGGCAGCGGCAGGAGCCGGCGCGGTGCGGGGGGGGGGGTTCCTCCTCCTCCTCCCTCCTCTCTCCTCCTCCTCCTCCTCCTCCTCCCTCCTCCTCCTCCTCTCCTTCCTCCTCCTCCTCCTCCTCCTCCTCCTCATCCTCCTCCTCCTCCTCCTCCTCCTCCTCCTCCTCTTCCCTCTCCCTCTCCTCCTCCTCCTCCTCCTCCCCTCCTCCTCCTCCTCTCTTCCTCCTCTCCTCCTCTCCTCTTCCAACCTCCTCCTCCTCCTCCTCCTCCTCTCCTCCTCCTCCTCCTCCTCCGCCTCCTCCTCCTCCTCCTCCTCCTCCTCCTACTCCTCCTCCTCCTCCTCCTCCTCCTCCTCCTACTACTACTCCTCCTACTCCTCCTCCTGGCGGCGTACCTTGTTCGCCCGCGCCGCCAGGAGCACTATGGTCGGGAGCCGATCGAAACCTCCGCCGTCTAGAGGGCGCGACAACCCAAGGGGTGGCCGGCTGTCCCAGACAGCGGCCATTCCGAGAGAGCAGAAGGAAGAGGAGGAGGAGGAGGAGGAGGAGGAGGAGGAGGAGGCGGAGGAGAAGGAGGAGGAGGAGGAGGCGGCGGCGGCGGCGGCGCCGGCGGCGCCGGCGGAGGCGGAGGCGGAGGCGGAGGCGGAGGCGGAGGCGGAGGAGACGGCGGCGGCGGCGGAGGAGGAGGAGGAAGAGGAGGAGGAGGCGGAGGAGGAGGAGGAGGAGGAGGAGGAGGAGGAGGAGGAGCAGGAGGAGCAGGAGGAGCAGGAGGAGGGCACGTGCGACGACAGGAAGCAGGAGGGAAGGGGGATGAGAAGGCTGCAGTAGGATGAGAGGAGCACAGACAGCGGCGGACGAGGAGGAATTGGCGGAGGAGTAGTTGACGACGATTGTGGCGACGACGGCAGCTGCGAAGGCGACGGCGAGAACGAGAGTGACGAGTATCAGCCCGAGCGACAGGAGGGCTTGCAGCCGAACGCTGCCATCCGTTGAGGGTCCGCTCGGGCTCGGGAGGACCAGAAGGCCCTTGATTGAGACACGCGGCACGCGGGGCACCTTTGTCTGCGGCAGCCCCGCGCGCAGGGATACTGCGAGCACGCCTGGGTCGCAACGCGACGCAGACGTGTCCCGTCCGTGCGCCCAGCTGCCTGCGGCCGCTCGCCCTCCCACGGCAGCCCGAGTGCATCGAGGGAGCGGGAGAGCTGCAGGGAGGCGCCGCCGGCGGAGCGAGGAGCCGAGGGGAGGCCGAGGAGGAGACGAGGGGGCGTCTTCCTCCTCCTCCTCCTCCTCCTCCTCCTCCTCCTCCTCCTTCTCCTTTTTCACGCTTCTCGGACCTGAAGCTCGGGCTTGTGGCGTTAGGCCTCCTCCTCCTCCTCCTCCTTCTCCTCCTCCTCCTCCACCTCCTCCCTCCTCCTCCTTTTCCTCCTTCTCCTTTTCCTCCTCCTCGTCCTTCTCCTCCTCCTCCTCCTCCTCCTCCTCCTCCTCCTCCTCCTCCTCCTCCTCCTTCTCCTCCTCCTCCTCCTCCTCCTCCTCCTCCTCCTCGTCTCCTCCTCGTCTTCCTGCAGTCGACACCGATGGCAAGGAGGGGCAACCTTCCCAAGGACACCCCCTGCGTCCGTGCCCCTTTGATCCATCCTCGGCCAGTTCCGATGGCCTGCCGCGCTCGAAAGCAGCCTCAACACGGGCGGCCGAGGGGCCGGCATCTGACTTGCTGTCGGTCTTGACTGCGCTGCAGCTTGTGCTGGGCTCAGGGGGGCCAGTGCGGAGAGGAGGCCGAGGAGGTACGCAGGGGGAGACAGCCAGGCTGGGGCGCTGGACGTGTGCACTTGCCGTTTTCTCTTCGGGCGGAGCCGCCCGCGGAGCTGGTGAAACTCACGGAGCGATCGGTGCGCAAGAGCGCCGTGCCTGGAGGCCCCCCCAGTAGGCAGCCCCACAAGCGGCGCCTCTCGGGAGCAAGGACAAGGGGAGACTGGGCACAGGGGGAGACGAGCATCGCTCCCCGATCGTCCAGTCGTCGACGCTCGGAGCCTGTCCGGCTTGGTTATCGAGAGCCAATCGGCGATGCATCGCCGATTCCAGGCCACTGTTCTCGCCCCTCCTCCCCCCCGGAGCCCCTCCCCCCTGCGCGGTTCCCCTCGCACAGGAAGTCCCGCAACAAGCGCCCCGCCTAAAATCAACAACATTTGTGTCTAGGCTGCGCTTGCGCGCACGCCCCGCTGCCCCGGCCGTCTTGAGTACGGGGTCGAACCGGCAGAACGCAGTCGGTCGTCCACGGGGCGGCTTGTCCGCAGAGCTGTGAAGAAAGAGGGGCCTCCAACCGAAGAGGGGCAAGCGGCAGGCGCGATCTGAAGCTTCGCGCCACCCGCCGCCCCCTTGGAGGGGTTCGATCCCCGCCCCTTCCTCTTGAGAATTGGGGTGGGGTCGAGCTTTCCTGAGGAGGACGGGGAGGAGGGGGAGGAGGGGGAGGAGGGGGAGGAGGAGGAGGAGGTGGAGGAGGGGGAGGAGGGGAGGAGTGGGATGATGATGATGATGATGATTGATGATGTGATGATGATGATGATGATGATGATGATGATGATGAATGATGATGATGATGATGATGATGATAGGAGGAGAGATGAGGGAGGAGGAGGAGAGGAGGAGGAGGAGGAGGAGGAGGAGAAGAGGAGGAGGGAGGAGGAGGAGGAGTGGGGAGGAGAGCAGGAGGAAGAAAGGGCGAGTATAGTGGGGTGCGCGCTGGGGAGCGGCTCGCGGATGGGCCTGCGAGGTGGCGCGGCCCTCTCCCTCCTCTCTCCCAGTCCTCTCCTCGCCCTCCTCGCTCCCTCCCTCTCTTCCCTCCCCTCCCTCCTCTTCCTCCTCCCTCCTCCTCTTCCTCCTCCCCCACTGCCTGCCCGCGTCCTTCCTCCATCCCTCCCCGGGGCAGGACGGGCAGGGGCGGCAGGGCCGCGCGCAGGAAGACAACGGGCTCGGTGAAGTTCGCCAGCCCAACCGCGGAGCTCCGAGAGCAGATGCTGAAGGACTGGGCCCCGCTGGGGCTCCTGCGCCTCCGTCGTTTTCTTGTTCCTCCTCCTCCTCCTCCTCCTCCTCCTCCTCCTCCTCCTCCTCCTCCTCCTACTACTACTCCTACTACTCCTACTCCTACTCCTACTCCTACTCCTACTCCCACTGATTATCCTACTCCTACTCCTCCATCCCTCTTCCTTACAAATAATTCCTACCTGTCGCACCCCGAAACGGGTCAGTAGGGCTGACTAGGCGTTTCGCTTGAGACTTCATCACCGTTTATGATACTGAAGCCTGAAAGTCAGCAGGAGCTTCACGGATGGAGGGCGGGCGGTTGTCAACGTGTGGCTCTCGCCTTAGCGCAGCGCGCATTCGTTCTCAAAGTTTGCAGGAGCTTCGCGGATGGAGGGCGGTGCCTTTAAAAAATGTGGTTCCCGCTTCAGCGCCGCGCACATTCGTTTTCAACGATTGCACGAGCTTCATGGATGGAGGGCGAGCGGTTTTCAAGATTTGGCTCTCGCAGTAGCGCCGCGCACATTAGCTTCAAATGATTGCAGGAGTTTTACGGCTGGAGGGCGGCTCCTGTTCAAATTGTGACTCCCGCCTCAGCGCCGCGCACATTCATATGAAATTGTTGCAAGAGCTTCACGGATGGAGGGCGGCTCTTTTTCAAAATGTGGCTTTCGCCGTAGCCTTGCGCACAGTCGTCTTAACATGTTACAGCAGTTTCATGTATTCTTAGGGTTGACGTTCCAGCAATGGTACTTCTTACGATTTAGGGCGGCCAAGGCGTGACAGTCACGTTGATTCGCGGCGTTGGCGCCACAGATACAGCGTTCTGGTGCGATTCCTGATCGTCAGGTCGCAACAGTAATGTTAGTTCGCGGCGCCGGCATTCCAGGAATTGTGCTTTGGCACGGTTGAAGATTTTCGGACGGCTGTCTTCCAACGGGGCTCCTCCCACAATGCACATCGATTTTTATCGCAGCCTAGGAACAGGGAATCTGGAGGGAGGTTTATTGCAACATCGTTGATGCGCCTTGAATTTACACTGGTCCTCCTCCTCCTCCTCCTCCTCCTCCTCCTGTTCTTCTTCCTCCTCCTCCTCCTCCTCCTCCTCCTCCTCCTCCTCCTCCTCCTCTCCCTCCTCCGCCTTCTCCTCCTCCTCCTCCTGCTCTTCTCCCCCTCCTCGCCCGGATCCCCCCCCCTCCTCCTCCTCGTCCCCTTTCTCGTCCTCCTCCTCCTCCTCCTCCTTCTCCTCTTTCTTCTCTCCTCCTCCTTGCTCCTCCCTCTCCTCCCCCCCTCCTCCTCCTCCCCCTCCTCCTCCGCCTCCTCCTCCTGCTCTTTCCCCCTCCTCCTCCTCTTCTTCGGCAAGTCGCTGGGCGAACACAGTGCCCGCGACGTCTCCTCCTCCTCCTCCTCGCCCGGATCCCCCCCTCCCTCCTCCTCCTCGTCCCCTCCTCGTCCTCCTCGTCCTCCTCCTCCTCCTCCTCCTCCTCCTCCTCCTCCTCCTCCTCCTCCTCCTCCTCCTCATCGGATGATGAGGGATCCTCCTCCTCCTCCTCCTCCTCCTCCTCCTCCTCGTCCTCCTCCTCCTCGTCCTCATCCGATCCCCTCCTCCTCATCAGCCTCCTGTTTCTCCTCCTTCCCTCCTGCCCTTCATCCTCCAGTGGACACCCCCTTCACTCTCGCACGCGAGTCCGCCTCCCTGTTCCTTCTCCCTCTCTGTCTTTTTATTATTGGTATCTTTCCTCTACTTATGTTTATTGTTATTATTGTTCTTCTCTGTGCTCATTCGCATGATTACTCCTCGTCAATCGTCCTCCTCCTCCTCCTCCTCCTCCTCCTCCTCCTCCTCCTCCTCCTCCCCTTCAGAACATGCGGGGCCCCGTTGCCGAAGTCTGGCCTCGCTGCGTCCTTGAGCGGCTCCACAGATGGAGGGCCAGTGGACAAGCAGGGCAGGGGAGGTGGAGGAGAGGAGCCTCAGGGGGAGGAGGTGGGGAGTAGTCGCAGGAGGAGGGGGAGGAGCAGCAGGATCAGGATAGAGAGAGAGAGAGAGAGAGGAAATGATGGAGGAGGAGGTGGAGGAGGCAGACGAGGAGGAGGAGGCGGAGGCGGAGGGGAAGGAGTAGGAGGAGGCAGAGGACGAGGAAGGGGAGGGAAAGGGAGGGGGAGTAGGAGGAGGACAGGAGGAAGACGCAGAGTACAAGGCGCTAGCCCGTGTCCATGCTCCCCTTCCGTGCCGTACTCTCCGACGTGCTTGCTCGTGTTCTGTCCCCCCTCTCTCTCTGCATATGATATGTGTTTCTCTCGCACCCTTCGTCGTTCTTGATATGAAGATAGCGGAGGCAGGTGAGGAACATGACGAAAGAGGTGGAGGAGGAGGAGCAGGAGGAGGAGGAGGAGGAGGAGAAACGATGGCAGGTGAGGAGGAGCACGTTGACGACGACGAAGAGGTCTTTATTGCAGAATAGGTCCGTTGCTCTTGGGACATCCCGAATCGATCGCGAGATCTCTTTGCGAGGAAAAGCATGGTAAGGAGAAGGAAGAAGGCGACGACGACGATGACGATCACGAAGCTGAAGCCAAGGCTGGCTCGACGAGCTCGAGTTCTGCGCTGGGAAAGGTAAGCGCGCCCGAGTAGTGGAAGTATACGGGTCGATTATGAGGTGGTGCGGTCGCCTCGCTCGTGTATACTTTGTGCCGCATGCGTCCAGGAAGCCCACGTCATCAATGGGTACACCGCCCAAGTCCAGACATGGAAGATGCAGAAGATGCAAAAGCCAGGGTACGCCAAGCAGCGGGACGCTGTCTCGTTTTGCATGCTTGACTTTCTCCCGCTGCCTCTCCCCATCTTCATACATCAACACATGCACTTGTATGTATCCAGCTACTTGCGACAAGTCCCGTCACCGTGCCAGTCCAGCATGTTTGGTGGCAAGTGCTCTACGATGAAAGAGCCGTGCTGAGGATGAGGATGAGGATTATGTTGTTGCTGTTGATGAAGATGATGATGATGATGACGACGATGATGATGGTGATGATGATGGTGATGATGATGATGACGATGATGCCGCTGATGATGGTGATGATGCCGATGGTGATGACGACGACGACTATGATGCTGATGCTGATGATGATGATGATGATGATGATGATGATGATGATGCTGATGCTGATGCTGATGCTGATGCTGATGCTGATGCTGATGATGATGATGATGATGATGATGATGATGATGATGATGATGATGATGATGATGATGATGCAGCTGCTGGTGATGGTGATGGTGATGGTGGTGATGTTGATGCTGATCGTGAGCATGACCATGGTAATGATGTTGGTCGTGATGATGATGGTGATCGTAATGATGGTGATGAGGATGGGGACGGGGATGAGGAGGATACCGACAAGGCCAAGATCCGACGGGTTTGGCCAGGCCAGGGCGAGCGGTTCGGGGCAGCCGCGGGCCCGCGGCCGTGCGTCTCTGAGGCGGCCAGGCGCCTTGTGTCGGATGCTGAGAGGGCTCCTGCGCGGCCTGCCCCTGCAGGCGAGTGCGGCGGCGGCAGCGCAGCAGGATCCGCGGCAGTGGGGCAGCCAGGCCTTTGACCTCGAGATCGGTCATGCGTGCTCGCTCCCAGGGCCGAGGCGCGGCGGTCGGGTGGGCCTGCCCCTCGGCCAGGCGGGCCCGCGAGGCGACGGCGCCCTGGCCGACTGGGAGAGCACGACGGGGGTCGGCCAGGTGGGCCACCCCGCAGGGTTGAGGGGCTCGGGCCAGGCGGGCCCGCCCTGAGGCCAGCCGGACCCGCGAGGCAGCAGCGCCCTGGTCGGCAGTCACGGCCCGTGGCGAGGCGGCCAGGAGGGCCAGCCCGCAGGGCTGAGGGGGCGCGGCCGGGTGGGCCCGCCCCGAAGACAGTCGGACCCGCGAGGCGAGTGCGCCCTGGCCGACAGCGCGCGGCCCTGCGTAAGCCAACTGGTGCGGCCCGGAACGCAGCTGCGGCCACTTGGCGGCCGGGAACAGGGTAGGCGCGGTGGGATCCAGCCCCGCGTCGTCGCAGCACGTGCCCTCGGCGGCGGCAGGGAGGCGCAGCGGGGCGGGCCAGTCCAGCAGGCAGGAGGAGTACGGCGAGTGGCGGCTGCTGACGCCATCATCGGGAGCAGGGTGTGCGACCTCGACCCGACGGCGCAGGCGCCGACGGCCGCGTTCGCCCAGGCCCTCGCAAGCGGCGCCGTCGTGCTGGGCTGCGACGGCAGCGGATGGCGACGCTCCTTGGAGGTGCTGGAGGGCTACGCCCGGCTGGTGGGTGCCTGGCCGCATGCCGTGACCCTCCAGGAAACCAGGCTCCCGGCGCCGAGCAAGATGGCCGCCGCGTCTGGCACCGCTGAAGCCCTGGGCCCTCATGGCTACACGGCCTTCCGCCACGCCGCCAAGGCCGCGGTGTGCACCCGGGCGCCGGGGCCAGCTGCCCCTCGGGGGGGGTCTCCGCCATGGCGCGCAAGGACCTGACAGCGAGGGAGTTGCCTTGGACGGTGCCCGCAGGCCTCTCTCACCGACTGCCGGGAGTAGAAATAATGATGCCGTCGGGCCTGGACCCCATGGTCGCCTCGGCCCACTTCGAGCACACCATCGGGCCGAGGGCAGGCAAACTCGACCTGCTGCGTGCGGTGGCGCGGCTCACCATGGCAGCTGGGTGCATGCCGCGGCTCCTGCAGGCAGACTTCAACATGGAGCCAACGACCTTGCAGGAGCTCTGCTGGCCAGAATGTCACCGTGGAGTGGCCATCGGGCCTCGGCCCGACGTGCTTTGCGGAGAAGCAGGAGAAGACCTTCAACTTGTTCGTGGCGTCGCAGGACCTTGCGCACGCAGCGAGCACTTGTCGTCCTGCGCCAGGCCCGGGGCTCCACCCTCACGCGCCCGTGGAGCTCACCCGTCAGGACGTGAGGCCAGGTGCGCTGGTCCAGGTCCTGAAGAAGCCTCGGCCTTCCCCGCGTCAGGGCATCAAGGCCAGCGACGCCCAGGAAGACGCGGGGGTCGAGGTCTTCCGTCGAGTCTGCCGAGCGGGGCAATGGCAGCGAGGCCCCCCCGAGTGGCGCTGGCAGCAAGGGGGGCGGCCTGGCAGCCTCGAGCTCGGCCCGCGGCAGTGGGTGGCAGCAGCGGAAGGAAGGGGCGCTGGTCGGCATCCGCGACATCGACGAGCAACAGTGGGGCCAGCACTGCGGCCGAGGAGGAGGGCCCGTCCTGGTCCGCAAGCCTATGCGCGCCCTGACGAGACGCAGACATCGGGTGCTCCATGCCGCGGTCACTCACAAGCTGCGCTGCTTGAACGACCTCGCGCAGCAGCGCGTCAAGGCAGAGGCGGCGGAGAAGCACCATGCGTCGCGCGAAGGCCGGTGCAGCACCGAGGCCCGCAGGCGCTGCAAGCGCCTAGCTCTCGAGCTGGAGGCCGCGGTCAGCAGCGGGCACGGCTGCGGCATCGGCGGCGACTGGGAGGAGCTGATCCACGACGCGTGCGTGAACGGCGTCGCCGAAGCAGTCATCGCGCTACGTGGGCGGCTTGCAGCGGCGCGCCGCCACGGCGCAGCAGGTCGCAGGCGGAGCGGAGGGAGCGGGCAGAGGTGGCGGTCCAGCGAGGCAGGCGCCTGGCGCACCGCTTCGCTTGCGCCGCCGCCCCTCCTGCCGTCCATGACCCCGGCGCCGGGCGGCCGCAGGCAGGGGTGGCCTCTGCGCTGCAGCTCGGGGAGGAGTGGCAGCGCCTTTGGCTCCGCGACGGCTTCCTCGGCGGCAGAGGCGTCGAGGCGTGAGGCGTGAGAGGAGCTGTCCTGCCCCGCCTGACGTTGGCGGGCCTGAGGGAGCGCTGCCGTCGCTAGTCCCCCCAGCGCGGGCTTGGCGCGGACCAGTTCCACCCGCGCCAGATCCCTCTCCTGCCGTCGGCGGCTGCTGACGCCATCATCGGGAGCAGGGTGTGCGACCTCGACCCGACGGCGCAGGCGCCGACGGCCGCGTTCGCCCAGGCCCTCGCAAGCGGCGCCGTCGTGCTGGGCTGCGACGGCAGCGGATGGCGACGCTCCTTGGAGGTGCTGGAGGGCTACGCCCGGCTGGTGGGTGCCTGGCCGCATGCCGTGACCCTCCAGGAAACCAGGCTCCCGGCGCCGAGCAAGATGGCCGTCGCGTCTGGCACCGCTGAAGCCCTGGGCCCTCATGGCTACACGGCCTTCCGCCACGCCGCCAAGGCCGCGGTGTGCACCCGGGCGCCGGGGCCAGCTGCCCCTCGGGGGGGGTCTCCGCCATGGCGCGCAAGGACCTGACAGCGAGGGAGTTGCCTTGGACGGTGCCCGCAGGCCTCTCTCACCGACTGCCGGGAGTAGAAATAATGATGCCGTCGGGCCTGGACCCCATGGTCGCCTCGGCCCACTTCGAGCACACCATCGGGCCGAGGGCAGGCAAACTCGACCTGCTGCGTGCGGTGACGCGGCTCACCATGGCAGCTGGGCGCATGCCGCGGCTCCTGCAGGCAGACTTCAACATGGAGCCAACGACCTTGCAGGAGCTCTGCTGGCCAGAATGTCACCGTGGAGTGGCCATCGGGCCTCGGCCCGACGTGCTTTGCGGAGAAGCAGGAGAAGACCTTCAACTTGTTCGTGGCGTCGCAGGACCTTGCGCACGCAGCGAGCACTTGTCGTCCTGCGCCAGGCCCGGGGCTCCACCCTCACGCGCCCGTGGAGCTCACCCGTCAGGACGTGAGGCCAGGTGCGCTGGTCCAGGTCCTGAAGAAGCCTCGGCCTTCCCCGCGTCAGGGCATCAAGGCCAGCGACGCCCAGGAAGACGCGGGGGTCGAGGTCTTCCGTCGAGTCTGCCGAGCGGGGCAATGGCAGCGAGGTCCCCCCGAGTGGCGCTGGCAGCAAGGGGGGCGGCCTGGCAGCCTCGAGCTCGGCCCGCGGCAGTGGGTGGCAGCAGCGGAAGGAAGGGGCGCTGGTCGGCATCCGCGACATCGACGAGCAACAGTGGGGCCAGCACTGCGGCCGAGGAGGAGGGCCCGTCCTGGTCCGCAAGCCTATGCGCGCCCTGACGAGACGCAGACATCGGGTGCTCCATGCCGCGGTCACTCACAAGCTGCGCTGCTTGAACGACCTCGCGCAGCAGCGCGTCAAGGCAGAGGCGGCGGAGAAGCGCCATGCGTCGCGCGAAGGCCGGTGCAGCACCGAGGCCCGCAGGCGCTGCAAGCGCCTAGCTCTCGAGCTGGAGGCTGCGGTCAGCAGCGGGCACGGCTGCGGCATCGGCGGCGACTGGGAGGAGCTGATCCACGACGCGTGCGCGAAGGGCGTCGCCGAAGCAGTCATCGCGCTACGTGGGCGGCTTGCAGCGGCGCGCCGCCACGGCGCAGCAGGTCGCAGGCGGAGCGGAGGGGGCGGGCAGAGGTGGCGGTCCAGCGAGGCAGGCGCCTGGCGCACCGCTTCGCTTGTGCCGCCGCCCCTCCTGCCGTCCATGACCCCGGCGCTGGGCGGCCGCAGGCAGGGGTGGCCTCTGCGCTGCAGCTCGGGGAGGAGTGGCAGCGCCTTTGGCTCCGCGACGGCTTCCTCGGCGGCAGAGGCGTCGAGGCGTGAGGCGTGAGAGGAGCTGTCCTGCCCCGCCTGACGTTGGCGGGCCTGAGAGAGCGCTGCCGTCGCTAGTCCCCCCAGCGCGGGCTTGGCGCGGACCAGTTCCACCCGCGCCAGATCCCCCTCCTGCCGTCGGCGCTGCAGGAGCGGCTGCCGGACCTCATGCAGGAGTTTGAGAACGCCCCCTGCAAGGTCTGATCGGCTGCCACCATGATGGCGTGCATTCCGAAGCCCGCGGGCGGCGTCAGGCCGATCTCGCTGCTGCCGTTGATGGTGCGTTCGTGGAGCCGCCTGCGCCAGCCTGCGTGCAGCCAGCGGGAAGGAGCCCACGCCAACCTGTTCTTTTGGGGACGCGGAGATAGCGGGCGTGAGCGCGCAGGCTGGACGCGCAACACGACCGCCCCACGCGCCCAGGGACAGGGGATGGCACTTGCGCCCCTGTTCGTCGATAGTTCGAAGTTTTACGAGAATGTGCAGAACAAAGTGTTCTGGGAGGCGGCGGTGAAGTATAATTTCAGCTCGAAGCTGGCGAGATGGCTCCTGGTCAGCTACCAGAGCCCGCGCTGCGTGGCCATGGCGGGGCCGCGCACGGTGGCGCCCCCCACCAGCGGCACGATCCCGGCATGTTGCGCGCGCGCAACTGCCCTGGCCAAGTTGCCCATGCTGGACCCGCCCCTGGCGATGACGGTTGGCCGCCTCATCATCTGCCCCAGGCATGCGGTCGACGATGTGCCCTTGCAGGCCATTGGCACCGAGCGCCTGGTGGTGCAGCAGCTCAGCGAGGCGGGGGCCCAGCTGGTCTCCATGCTTGTGGCGCAGCACCTGCCCGTCAACGCGGCCAACGCCCACTGCTTGGCCTGCGCTGCCGCAGTGGCGAGAGGGCTGAAGGAGAGGCGGCAGCTCCACGGGTGGTCCTTCAGCCAGGAGTTGCAGGCCAGGAACCTCGGCACTGGCGCCTGCATGGCGCGCAGAGGAGTTGCCGAGAGCGCCGCCAGGGCTCGGCAAGTCTTGAGACGCGGCCGCAGGATGCAGAGCACGAAGGCAACAGGGGTTCGCGTCGACGCGGTCTTCAAGGCGGGGCCCTCCTCATCCAGCTTCCTCCGGGGGAGGGCCGTCGTCGGCATCCCAGATGGCGACCTGCGCTGCATGCGCATTGCTGCATGCAGGAGCGCGGGGCGCCTGCCCAACGGCGCGCCCCTGGGGCCGCCCGTCTGGCTGGGGAGTGTGCGGGGCGGACCTGGTCGCGGACCTCGGGGGCGTCCTAGGCCTGGCCACTCTCGGGCCTAAGGGCCGCATGGTCGAGGCGGAGAGAGGAGCGCGGAGGGCTTCTGACAGGCGGGAGTTTGGCCGCCTGGCCAAGGTCGGACGGCGTTGCCACCCTCTTTTGGGGCGCCATCTGCGAGCTGATCGGGCCCCGCGGCTCCCTGGGCCCCAGAGAGAAGGCGGCTCCCGGCGGCCAGGGAGCGCGACCGCGGGTGCTGCCTCCTCTGTGGCGCGGAGAACGGCGCGCTCTTCCATTGCCTGTTCGAGTGCCCTGCGCTGGAGGCGGTCTGGAGTGGCCGCTGTTCGGCGCGATTGAGGCGTCGTGCTCAGCGAGTGAGGCAGCTCGGAAAGGCGGCCGCGGAGGACTTCGCTCGCTGCTGGCTGCCTGCCCCCACGCTTCGCCTGCCAGGTCTGGGCAGTGGCATTGAGATTCGCCGGTTTCACAGGCCTGACGGTGGATTTCCGCGCGGGCGGTTGTTCCTGGACGGGCCATCGTTCGAGCCGGCGCACACAGCGACGCGCCGAGCTGGATGGGCGACCTGCCAGGTCAGCGAGGACGGCACTTTGGAGGCAGCCTGCCACGGCATTGAGGGACCAGGGAGGCACATCCTGCACGTCGATTGCGCATCCACGGTCTCCTGCTTGAGGCGAGGGCGCCAGTGCGCCACTGGCATTGGCCGACCTGGCGCTCACCTCTGGAGCAGGTTCTTCGCTGTCTTAGGGCCCGGGGACTACGAGGTTCGGAAGTCGCCAGCTCACCTGACGCGGGCGCAGTTGCAGGAGGGGCGCACCTCTGAGCAGGATTGGCGCGGCAACAGGTCTGCGGACATCTACGCTAAGCTCGGGGCCTCGCTACATGGTGCCCCGCAGGAAGTGCTGGCTCACTTCCAGGCTTTCGCGCTGGTCGTGACTGAGCTGGCGCGGAGGATAGCCCAGGTGTCCGTTCTGATGCAGCAGGGCGGCCTACGCGACGCGCAGGGCTTGCTTGAGGGGCTGGAGGAGGCCAGCGGTGGCGTTCGACGACGACCCGGGCGGGCCGCGGGCGGCCGTCGCCCCAGCGCGCCGCCCAGCGGCGGCGGCTCCCATGGGGGCGGCCGAGGCCACCATCGGCCGCCCAGAGGCCATGCAGGCGTTTGGCCTGGACGAGGGCGGCTTGGCCGACTGGGCGGAGGAGGTCTCGGCGGCGGAGGAGCGCAAGCGGAGGCGCCTCGTGGGCCCCCCCTGAGCCGTGAGCTGAGGGGCGGAGAGCGCGCGGCGGCGGTTGGCCGCCCGCGCCTGGGGCGGGGCCCAAGGTGACCGCCCCTCTTTTTATTATGTGGTGTTTTCTCTATTTCCTTCCTTTTGTTTTGTTCTCTCTCTCTCTCTCTCTCTCTCTCTCTCTCTCTTTCGCTATGTATATTTTTTTGGTGTGTCCCTCTCTCTCTCTCTCTCTTTTTTTCTCTCTTCTCTCAGGCTTTAGGCCCCCGCAGCTTCAGCTTCAGCGCGGGAACACCTGCTGCAGGCGCGGGTGCACCGCCGCCGCTGGAGCACCTGGGAGGCCCAACAGAAAAGCAGGGTGATCGCGGGCGGGGGGGAGAATCGCGATGCGCGCGATCCGTGCACGGCGGATCGCGAGGGCTCAGGAGTTTGAGGGAAATCGGAATGCGTTGCAAATCAGGGCTTCAGGGTCAGACTGAAGATTCGGAACTTCGCGTGGTAAGGTGGCAGGGGTAGGGTTCCGGGAGGCGGCGTGGCCAAAGACGGGGAGGGGGGTGGTGCGATTTTCGAACTCAGGTGAGGCAGGGGGGGTCCGAGAGCAGGAGTTTTGGGGTCTGGGGCGACGGATGGGGAGGGGGGGGTGCGGGAGGGAAGTATCTTCGGACGACGGGCCAGGACAAGGGGGGAGGACGGGGGAGGAGGAGGAGGAGGAGGAGGAGGAGGAGGAGGAGGAGGAGGAGGAGGAGGAGGAGGAGGAGGGGAGGGGGAGGGGGAGGGGAGGGGGAGAAGGGGGAGGAGGAGGAGGAGGAGGAGGAGGAGGAGGAGGAGGAGGAGGAGGAGGAGGAGGAGGAGCAGGAGGAGGTCCTGGACCCCCTCCCCTTTCGCTGAAGGGTCGAGTGGCGCACCCTCCTTGTTTGGTTCGCCCCCCAGCCCTAGTGCTGCCTCCCGTCGCCGCCGATTCGTTCGGTTTGGCACGCTCCTCGGCCGTCCCCTGCCCCAGTTCTGCCCTCCGCTGCCACCGTTGGGCGTTGTCCCCGGCCCTGGTTATGCCTCTCACTGCCGCCGATTCCTTGGGTTCGACGTTGTCCTCGGCTCTCTTTGGTCTTGGTCTTGGCGCGACCTTTCGTCGCCGCCAGCTCCCTTGGTTCGGTCGGCCTTGTCACCGGCAGTTCCTGGTCCCAGTGCCGTATCCTGTTGCTGTCCTCCGTTGCCACTGATCTGCTTGTGTCGTCGTTGTCCCCGACTGCGCTCACCTAACCCGCGCTTGCCTGGTTTTGTGCATCTTGTCACGCGTTGTCACCATCATGGTTGTTTCCGCGCTGTTCCCGCGGGTTCTATTTGTATGAAGTTTCGAGCACATCAGGCAGAATATCTATTTATGTGTTTCCGGCATCTTGACCTTGAGGCATCTCGGCAGCTTGTAGTTTGCTTTAAGCTTTTTGGGATCTCCAGCCGCATTGGGGCGGCTTGGAACCGGTTGAGAGGACGCTTTGGCAGGTCTTGCGCTGTCTTGGGCTATCTCGGAGAGCCGTGGACCAGCAGAAGCAGGGATGCCCATGCAACCAGGACGTTTTCGCTTTCACACGCCTGGTGACCCTGCGCGGGAATCGGCGGATTATCTACTTAAAAACTCATGTGATCATTCTGGGCAGCTGGTTGTCATGCGACGCCGTCCGTCCGCACGTGTGGATTTGACCTTGTCCGCGATGTCCTCGAGAGATCGATATTGGCCTTCCCTTTTTCACAGGAGGCGGAAACAGCCAAGTACTTCGCGAAGATTGGCAAGCCGCAAGGGCTTATCACGTGGAGTTAGGATGCTCTGCCGTGCGTGTTGGTAGGGCCTCTGGCTTTACGACCCACTGTATGAGCAAAGAGCCCGTGCGTGAAAGGGCATTCGTTGCTTGCATGCGATTGGGCAGGTGTTCAGTGAGAAGACCGCACGCATCACATCTCTGGACGATGCTCCTGGCACATACGTCATCCTTGCACCCAGTTGCCCCGAGTGGTTGATTATGTGCGCCTTGCGAGCATGATTCAGGTCCACGTGACCATGTTCGATACAGTTTGTGCTAACCGCTTGACTCGGAGGTGGATAGACCTCCTACCCTGACACGTCGATTAAGGAATTGGCCGTTTTCGGTTCGCGAGAGGGCGTCGCGGCCGTCATTTTTGCGGGTCCAGGTCCGTCGTTTTCGGTCCCAGGCCGTTTTCACTAAGGAGAGGTTTACTCAAGGGAGGTTTGTCCACCGCCGATTGACAGCCACCAACACACGTGCATGGCAAACGCCGTATTTGATTCTTGGGCTTACGCCGCACCGCCGACCCCTTGGGGGCCTCCTGGTAGATCTCTCGGGGGCCTCCTGGCAGCACTCTTGAAGCCTTCTGGGCCGTTTTGGGGCCTCTTGGGGCCTCTTGGGGGCCTCTGGTGGGCCTCCTGGAGCCTCTTGGGGGCTCCTTGGGGGCCTCGTCGGGCCTCCTGGAGGCTTCTTGGGGCCGAGGGCTTGAAATTTCCGTCCGGGTCCCCCGCCTGGGCCCCCTCCTGGAGCCGGCTGGCGGGCCTCTTGGGCCGTCTTGGGGCCCTCTTGGGCCGTCTTGGAGCCTCCTTGGGGGCTTCCTGGGCCGTCTTGGGGCGATCTTGGAGGCCTCTTGGGCCATCTTGGACGTTGTGCAAGCCCAAGAGGCGAATGTGCTGAAATCACACGTTTCCTCGAGGGAATGGGACGATTTTTGCTTCCGGGGGCCCTCATGGGACGCCTCTTGGGGGCCGTCTGGGGGCCATCTTGGGCGTCTTGGAACGATCCATCGGCAACTCGGGGCCCTCTTGGACCATCTTGCGGGCCTCTTGGGGCCCTCATAGCCCGTCGTGAGGCCCGTGACGCGTTCAGCCGGGGCCGGCCGGACCCCCCCTCCCCCCCTCCAAACCGATTGGACCGGGCCCCGGGGGGAGGGGTTTGGGGAGGGGGAAGCATCTCGCACGCCGATGACCAGAAGGGGTCGGCGGATAAAAGCGCAATGTGTTTTGTCAACAGCTCTTCACGTGATGGTGATGACTCGTAAATGGAATCGACCACGGTGTATTACCTACATTGCTGGACGACGAAGCGTTGAAATGGAGAGAGCGTGTCAGAGGGTGGGGACCGAGCGGTCTTACACCATCCTTGGGTGCGTGGCTGTACCAGTGCAAAACGTCGTTGAGTTTTCACTCTGAAGAACAGCTATTGTTGATCCCCCCGTCAAGTAGATAGCTTGTGCTTTTCAAAAGAAGTGCACCTCCCCCAGGGCTCGCGCACTGTCTTTTCTCAGGGGCAGCGTTGAAGTTAAAGCTGTTTCCGCGCCGGATTTCACAAATTACTCAGGAATTGTGCTCTCCCCCAGGACTCCCTCGCAATTTCATCAGGCGCCGCGCCCTCGACGCCCAGGAATCGCGCTCTCGCATGAGACCGCCTCGCAATGTGCTCAATGATTCGTGCTCTCGCCTGAGGCCTCGTCGCAATGCAGACATGCTTGTAGTGATTGCTGCTTGTGGTCTAGCGTGTGGCACGCGTTGCCCTGAGACACGTCGGCGGTGAAGCTGCAGTGCATGTCGCACGGTAGCAGCACCTCATGTCAAGGAGCACTCAAAAGCAGCAACGGGAAACGAGCCAACGCATGGGATCCGCGCAGTGTGTGCAGGACGTCCAGTCCTGAGCCTCGGGACTCCTGCGCCCCGGCTGCGCTCCTCGAGGGCCTCGCCCCCGGCGCGAGCCGTGCGGTGCCCGTCGCCCTCGCCGCGTGCAGCAACATATCCGCTCCGAGGCTCCGCCCGCCCGGTCCGCTCGCGAGTCAGCAAGGGATAACAAAAAAAAACGCCCCTACCCTGGTGCACGAGGCGCTGTGCGCTGAACCTCCTGTGGGCTGACAGGGTCAACGCTGCGTTCCGCGCGCGTCGCGCGGCGTCCCAGCGGCTCTCTGACCTTTGGGAGCTCCCAGGAGGTTTACGGACCACGCGCAGAGGGGAGCAGGGGGGGAGGCCTCTTTCCTTCTGGGGGTGGCGCGCAGGTTTGTCGCCATTTCTGGCCTCTGGGGGCCCTCGCCGGGCCTCGGGGCCGTCAGAAAACGGCCCAGGATGAGAAACCGGTCCCAGGGAAGGGGCCTGGGCCTCCGGGGGCCGACGCTCTGAAAGATTCGCGCGCAGAGGGGGGGGGTAACTAGGGGGGAAGAGGGAGGGCTTCTCAGAAGCACCCCTGCTTCTCGGGAGGCGCGGGCCCTGTCTGCAGGTGTAAGGCGAGCGCCTTCTGAGAAGCCGCCTCCTCCCAAGAGGCCCTCCCCCCTCCCTCCACTCCGCCCCCTGGTGCGCACCGCCAGGCCCCGACCGGCCCGCTGGGGTCCGCCCGCTCGCCTGGGATTGGAGCCCGCCTGCCCGCGTCGGTGTCCCGCCCGACCCGCTCGCTGGGGTCCGCCCGCCCGGCCCGCCCGTCAGGGTCCGCCCGGCGGATCTGCGAATCCCCAGACACGATCGCGTCGTAAAAGAAGAGATCCAGACGGGGGGGGGGGGGTTTGGCTACGTTCGGCCCCGCGGGGGCCCTCGCCGGGCCTCGGGACCGCGACCAAGAACGACTCGGGACGACAGACCGGCCCCGGGGAAAGGAGGGTCGGGACTTCCGGGGACGCCGCCCCGAAAAACTCGGGGCGTCGCACGTCTGGGACTCTGGATCCGCACGACCGACCTGCCCGTCTTCAGTGCCCCGCCCGCCCGATCCAGCCGCCCGGGCCCGTTTGCCACGGCATGCTTCCCTTCTCCCCCCCCCCCACTCCATCCCTCTTGCCCCCCTCCCTCCTCGTTTCCGCCCCCTTTCCTCGCTCTCTCCCTGCTCCTTTTCCCTTCCCCTCCTTTCTGGAAGACCGCGCCAACTGCACGTGGCAGGCGAGGAAGATAATATTCCCAAAGGGGATGCGATCGAAGACGGAGAGGGCGGGTATCGGGGGCTTGAGGCATTCATGTTGAGTGAAACGCAAGCATTGAAGAGCGAGTAGTCTTGAAATTGTTGTTGAATGTTGATTGCTGTAGGATGATTATCGTTCACCGCCCCAGAGCCCTTTAGAGCGTTTTGAATTGAAGTGCCCCCCCGTAGCTCGCACCCTGTTCCCCAAACAGTGCTTGCACCTAGGGCTTGTCTCCCCCAGGGATTGGTTGGGTCAGGCGAGGTTTCGCCACGTCGCCGCCTCGTGCCGCAAGGTGCGCTGGGTGGGTAAGGCGAGGTTTGGCCACGCTGCCGCCTCGTGGCCGCCTCGTGCGCTGGGTGGGTCCCGCGAGGTCTCGCCACGCTGCCTCCCGTTGCCGCCTCGCCGCCGCCTCGTGCGCTGGGTGGGTCCGGCGGGGTTTCGCCATGTGGCCGCCTCGTTGCCGCCACGTGCTTTGGGTGGGTCCAGCGAGGCTAGGCCCTGATTAGTCTGACTGATGGGGATCTCCGCGTCGAGTAAAATCGTGTGTGTGTGTTTCTTCTTCTTCTTTTCACCATTGTCTTGAAGCTTCGGCACCCAGGTCCAGCACGACAGAGCCAGACGCGTCGAGCATTTGACTGCGAAGCGACCTGTCGGTAATGGTGCATCCAGTTCTTGATGGGACTTGATTTCTGCCACAACTCGTCTACGTACGCTCGCACCCTGATGGCGTTCAAAGAAGCACGGGTTCGCAGTGATGAGTCGCCCCTTGTTTGGCCAAGGCCCGTGTCGCTCGCAGGTTGCACGTGCCCATCCCGAATGTGCTGGCAGAGTCCCTCTGGCGGTTCCTGCCGTCTGCTCGCTGCTCGTTGCCGCTGCCCCGGAGCGTGTGCCTGCCCGCCCGTGCACTCGGATCTCCCCGCATGCAGGTCCGCTTGTCTCGCGTGGCGCCCGCAGCCGCCTCGTCTCGAGCCGGCCCGGCTCGAGGCCTGCGGGGGGTGCGCGTGGGCGAGATGGGCGTCGACCAGCGGGGAGGGCCCCGCGGACGGAGGCAGAAGGCCATGCGGGGGCGGCGACCGTCGCAGCTCGCCGGGCTGGCGCTGCCCCTGGTGCTGCTGTGTCGCGGTGCCGCTGGCGGGGCGTCGCCGGCTCTGGCGGACGAGGTCCTGATGAACGCGGCGGCAGAGGGGGATCTGGCCGCGCTGGCGGGGCGGCTGGCCACCCCGGGCGTGGACGCCAACGGCGTGAACGAGTTCGGCGAGACGCCCCTGCACCTCTCGGGGAAGCGTGAGACTCGAGTATAATTAAGCCGGAGCTCGGGCTTGCCGACATTCTTCTTGACGAGCGCGCCCTGGATGTTGACGGTCCCATCTTCGTGGGATGTCCGCAGTGGGAGCCCGCGCCAAGTTTCAGCTGGGTCTCGCCACTTTTATGATGGCCCCCGTTCGGATGCAACTCCTGGGAGGTCGAATTCTGATTTGGCCCTGGTCCGAAATCTGGCTTAATCCGGCTTAATCCCGCTTAATCCGGCTTAATCCCGCTTAATCCGAGGCCCACTCCGGCGTAACAGCTCCCCAATGGGGCTTAATCCTCCTTCATCCTTCCGACGAAGACTCACACCTCCCAGTAGTTGCCTCATAACCCCCGTCAGGCCAACCCGAGTCCCCCGTACCCGAGTCTTACGTCTCCCCGAACCTCGCGGGCATCCAGGGCCACGCCGCGGTGGTCGACGCCCTCGTCGCCGCGAGGGCCGACGTCAACGCGCGGACGGACGGCACCTACGAGGGGCATAGCGCCAGGGTCCGACGGACGCCGCTGATGCCGGGCGACTTCAGCGGACCTCCTCGGCGGCCCTGGCCGGGGCCCGTTCGCGGGGCCCAGGACCGGTGCCTG